CAACATTATATTTATCTCCCATGAGACCCAGTATATTATTTTTTTAAATCATAAGTAATATCTCGTGCCTGATGAGTTGGTAAAACAACGAAACTTAAGTCACACCCCAAACGTAGGTATATATATATATTTATTGATATATATTTATTAGCTCTGTCAAACTACATTGAGCATTGTTATGTTTACACCTTAATGTAAATTTAGTACATATTTATTTACTTACCTGTGTATGCACGCTAACGTGCGAATATATGGTTGCTAATATCTAGTTATTTGTTTTACCCATCACTTTAGCTACACACGCACGCACACACACACACAAATATATATATATATATATATATACAGTATCTGTGTACACTACATTATTCAGACTATTGTCTTCATCTTTGTCGCCATATTTATTACAACGTTTCGGCTGTTGTACTCTCCGGCCATCTTCAGGTGGTTGGAATGTCGCACTGAACCCTTTATTTCATATTGAACTCAAGGACCCATGGCAGAGTGGATAAAGGCGTTAGTTAGATCCAGTCACAGAACCTAAAAAGAGCGTGAGTTCAATACTTCGTTAAGGCGGTGGAGAACTTGGAAAGGGGAATTAACAGAAAATAATTGATAACTGACATCCATTAAAACATGGCACGTGGATCTAGAACAGTCTATCCCAGTGAGTTGAAATGGCGACAAGGATGAGGACAATAGTCCGAATAATGTAAATAGTGTACATAATACCTCATCTCCAAAATATAGACAAATACTGAAAGGCCGAAACGTTGTAATAAATATGGCGACAAAGATGAAGGCAATAGTCCGTATAATGTAAATAGTGTACATAATACCTCATCTCAGACATATAGACAGATACTGAAAGGCCGAAACGTTGTAATAAATATGGCGACAAAGATGAGGACAATAGTCCGAATAATGTAAATAGTGTACATCATACCTCATCTCAGAAATGTAGACAGATACAGAATACAATCTGTTGTACTGATTGAGGGAAAGATGAATTCATGCCGTTCCCAAGGATATTTGTGCGAGGGTGAACGAAACGAATCTAAGCAGAAAACGAACCCGGTTCACCGATTTCACTTTCCGGAATGCTAACATTTACACTTCCCTCATACATTCCATTAACAAGCGCATATATATATATATATATATATATATATATATATATAGAGAGAGAGAGAGAGAGAGAGAGTGAGAGAGAGGGAGATAGAGGGAGAGAGAGAGAGAGAAAGGAGTTGAACTCACACTCTTTGGGTCCTGTCACTGGATCTAACTAATGCCTTTATCCACTGTGGTTCAGTTCGACATTCCAACCACCTAAAGAAGTCCGGAGCGTACAACGGCCGAGGCGTTGTAATAAATATGACAACAAAGATGAGGACAATAGTCCGAATAACGTAAATAGTGTATATATATATATATATATATATATATATATATACGGCTACAAACTTTCTAAAAAATCAGAAAAAAAACGCATTTTAAATAATTTAAATGTCTTCTTTGAATTTTAATTTCTGTTCTACTGGATGTGTCAGAAATACCTTCTAAATTATAGCTCCCACATAATGGTAAGACATCAGGTAGATGAAAACACCATTGCCACTAATGTCATACCATTATATGGAAGGTATTTCTGGCAGGTAATTATGGGAGGTATTTCTGCCACACCCTGTATAAATACAATATAAGGTAAATTAAGAAAAGCAAAATTTGAAGAAAAGAAAAGAAATTAATTTATCAACTTAAAATTTTGTAAATATGTTTACAAAAACATTAAATATTATTCTTGGAAAAATCTTACCTGGAGAATTATTGAATATCTCATTACGTGATAATTAAATTTGTTCAGTTGAAAATAATTAATTAATCAATATTTCTAAATATGATATTTAATGATGATACTATTTTAGAATAATTACAGAATTATTAAATTTACAAATCAATTTTTTTAAAAAAGCATAATTTTACAAAACATCATTTGTATTATTGTTGATAAGATTTCAATAGAAAATTATTTAATGAAAAAAAATTGAAGCCTTACAAATTTTAAAATCTTCATTTTCCCCTCAAGACGTTTTTCTTGTTTTGTCTGAGTTAATTTATTGTTTCTTCTGTTTTCCTGGATTTCATTTTTTTTCTTTGTTAACAGGGGAAATAACTCTTGGGGAAATCAAACGGCCTTCTCGGATTCCTTTCAAGAGGAATATGGTGCCCTTATTTTAACGAATCTAAAACGGGTTTCTTGTCACGTGTTAAGAATCTGATTAGAATAAAGACCGTAATAAAGTTACAAATAGTACGGAAAAAAGGTCCTGTTGCCAGTGCTCCACAAAAAAAGAAAACGAATGAACCCAGAAAAATAGCTTTCTTCATTAATGACCGTAAAAAAGCTCAAAAAGCTGGTGTATCCTTTTCTAGTGATGACCTTAGTAGATTCATCTCCTAGTTAAACCGGTGCAAATGAATGTGAGCTTCATCGGACAATCAGGTTCTTTTCTGTATCGAGTCTCTTCAGGAACTAGGCGGTCATGGCTCTCCACCTCCTCCTGTCCGTCCCATGTAGCTCTTAATAAGTTTTTTTTTTTTGTTATTTTTCTCAGATACTGTCCTGCTATCCATTTGCTTCAAGTCCGTTATGCCTTACGTTGCTTTTCCCTGTCCGTCTTTCCGTCCTGTGAGTATCAGATTTTCCAAGCCTTCCTTCCTCATTACGTATCCCAGAAATATCAACTGTATCTTTCTGATGTTAAGTATGTTTTCTCTTTTTTAAGTTTATAATCAAAATTCTGATGAATAAAGCGCGGAGTAGAATTAAGCTAGAAACAAGACAGGAACAATGTGGCTTCGTTAAAGTCACTGGATCAAGAAATGCGATATTTATGACCGAAAAGCTTATCATTATGGGAATAAAAAATGAAATATACAACAGTGGCAGCCTACCGGAAGTCCTGCTGCAATGTATTCGAACTTTATCGAGCAATTAGCTTAATGAGCCACATATCTAAATTTATTAGACCATAAATGAAGAAATAGCAGTGAACCTTTGTTCAAGACACTGGAACAAGAAATGCAATCTTTATGTGCAAAATGTAATCAGGGTGATACAGGAAGACCTATAACATTTTTGTTTGTTTGCTAAAAGCATTGGATAAAGTAGGACACAAATCTTATACTATGGACACACACGTAGAAAGGAAGATATGATTTTATATCGACTTCGAATCTTGCTTTCATAGTCAGCAGCTGGTCTTTTTGGCGGTAATCCACTTATACAGAAGACAGGTGGAGGGTAAAGGAGTGGATGAGAGAATTTTGAAGATCAAGTGGCAACAAAACCGGAAATAAGGCATATATTCTTGATAAAAACAAAGAAGAATCAGCAATATTATTGGTCTGGACCTAACAACTCGGCTTCCCTGTGCCTTTTCGATAAATAGATACAATTTGATGTACTTTCCTCTATGGTACTTATAAATTTATCTGCTGTACTAGATTGGCAGCTAGGTCCTATCATTTTACTGTTGAAATGGCTAGAGGTGACTGTAAGTTCTATGCTGGCAGTTTATTCTCTCGCACTTCTCGCTTGTGAAACTCTCTTCCGGCTTCTTGCTTCCTAGACAACATCGCTCTTCAAAAATTTACACGCAATATTAATCGTTATCTTCTGTCTTTCTAAAACTTGTTCTTTTATTGTCCTTTCCCTTTGTTAGTAGTTTTTCTCATGCTCTGTCAAACTCACTAACCCCTTGTGTCTTAGTGGCTTTATTGCCTTGCTTGAGGTGAAATGATTAAAAATATCCGAGTGCTGGTCTATATTTACAGTCATGTTCGGGATCGAAGATAGTTCCAGTTCACCCTGGGCGGGAGATGGACTTGTCCTTCGCGTGTTTCCTGTGCCGTCCATTCATGTTGCCAGGTTGGGAGAGCTAATATAGCAGAAATTATCTCAAGTCCCTATACACCCAGACGAAACAGGCGAAGCCGTGAATAAAACATCTAGATATAATATGGGAAAAGGCTCACGTTCTCATTTCTCGACCGTGACGTCTGTCTTGCATTTGCTGCCGTGTGAGCATGCAGCGGACCCTTTCCCAGCTTTCGTTGAACTCCGACAACATAGAGAAGTGAAATTCAACATGGGGAAAAATCATTGGCCGGACGGTGGAGAACTTGGGGTAGGGTTGAGTTGTATGTTTACACAAATACCTACAAGTGTTGGAAAGTTTGGTTTACATAGGAACGTTAGGAGAGTGATCAATTTTTCCTACTGGGAACAAAGAGCCTGCATCCGTCAGAGAAAGGGTTCAGTGAATAAACAAAACAGAAAGAGGAATAAGACAAGGATAGGTTTTCTCACAGCGAGGCAATCTTAAGAGATCTAGTAATTCTACCAGGATTTAGTAATAATGGTCACACTCGTAACGACGTAAGTTACGCAGATCACATCAGGTTGATGGCGGAACACATGAAGAAAACTTCAAAAACCTCTAGACAAAAAAGTCAAGGAAAGCGAGAAGAAAGGACTAATCATCAATTGTAAGAATACAGAATATACAGTCGTTAGCAAGAAGGACAGCGGAAGACACGATGTACTAATTTTAAACCCCAGAATTAAGCAAGCACAAAAATTGAAATATTGGGAAAGTGTTATAAGAGACGGCGAAAAATGAAAGTGACACTGAAATCCGAAGAACCATTGGAATAGCGAAAGATGCCTTCCAAAAGCTAAGCAAAATATTAAGAGACAGGAAAATTTCCCTAGAAGCATAGACACGAGGTGCCGAAAAGTTGTATGGTAAAGGATGAGGGACAATTTTTGCACAAATGAAGAGGAAACTTGAGGCGACAGAGATGTGTGGCTTTACAGAAGGATGCTGAGAATGCGGAGGGAAGGATATTTGAACAGTGAAGAAAGTTTAAGGAAAGTGGACAGAAAATGAAAGTTTTGCTTAGAATCAAATGAAAAGACAGCAACCCATAGGTAGTTACGAACATAGATAAGAAAAGGTTGAGATAGAGATGAACAGGCTGCGATAGATAGATACAAAAAGGTTGAGATACATATGAACAGGCTGCAATAGATAGATAGATAGATAGATAGATAGATAGATAGATAGATACGAGAAGGTTGAGATAGATATGAACAGGTTGCGATAGTTAGATAGATACGAAAAGGTTGAGAGATATGAACAGGCTGCGATAGATAGATATATAGATACGAAAAGGTTGAGATAGATATGAACAGGCTGCGATAGATAGATACGAAAAGGTTGAGAGATATGAACAGGCTGCGATAGATAGATATATAGATACGAAAAGGTTGAGATAGATATGAACAGGCTACGATAGATAGATATATAGATACGAAAAGGTTGAGATAGATATGAACAGGCTACGATAGAGAGATAAATAGATACGAAAAGGTTGAGAGCTATGAACAGGCTGCGATAGATATATAGATACGAAAAGGTTGAGATAGATATGAACAGGCTGCGATAGATATATAGATACAAAAAGGTTGAGATAGATATGAACAGGCTGCGATAGATAAATAGATACGAAAAGGTTGAGAGATATGAATAGGCTGCGATATATAGATACGAAAAGGTTGAGATAGATATGAACAAGATGCGATAGATAGATGAATGACGAGATTGTGATAGATAGATTTGAATAGACCGAAATAGATCTACACATTTCATTCTTTCAGTACTGGCATATATATATTGATTTTCTAAGCGAGGCTTAGATGTGGCACATGGCCGAAAGTATGGGGTACCAAGTGAGAATCGAACTCACTATTCAGTTGTAAACAGTTTTAGCAGGACCAGCTTGCTAACCATTACACCATGCCGAGACGCCCCTACTGGCATATTATATGTCAGTAAATGACCACTTTAAAATTCACTCTCCCATTACAAGCCGAGGCAACTGCAATTGGAAACTGATATTGTCAACCCTGAATAATCCAATAAAAAATTCGTCCAAGTGTCACTTTAAAAAAAAATATATATATATATAACGCTATAGGCAGCAATTGGTTGAATTTGGTAACCATCACCAAATATTATCGTCCATTAATATATTTCATTAGTTTATTAAATTTAATTACAAGTGAATTAATAACTCAGTTTTTCCCTCCAAAAAACTGCGTATACTCGTAGACATTTCTTTTAGAATTTTTGAGTTTTTAATTAATTCCTTGAAATCGTCCAAACAAAATTATTTTGATTTAATTAAGCATTTAATTTCTTTTTCCTAATTACTTCATTCAGCTAAAATGAATAGAAGAGATTAATCCAGGACAACAATAAAAATGAAAAGCAAAAATTCAAATAAGAAATGTCGAACCAGAAATGTTCTTTAGTCTGACCTGATCTTTGTTTTTACTTGTTGAGAATCTTCTATTTTCAGAAAGGAAAAGACAGAATTCCATCAAAAATAGTCTTTTCTTTCTTATCCTTTTATTTTATTTTTAGTTTTTGCTTTATCTTTTACAGAAAACAAAAACCATTTGCTACTTTGCTAGTTTCTTTTTCTTTGTTTTTCTTTTCAAGGAAATATTCTCTTTTATAAAGTAATTTAAGTTTTTGTTTTCCATTTTCATTCTTGTTTGTATGTCGATTTCTTTTTCTCAGAAAAAATAAAACCAATCTAGCAAAATAGTAATCGGCAACAAAAATATGAAATTGTTTGAACACGAATAGAGTTTATCCGTTTTTTCCGGTTTAGGATTAGTTTTCCGTTTCTTTCGAAAGTTTTCTTAATGTTTTTCACACCTATTAGCCCCCTTGCGTCTTAGTGGTATTATCGCCTTCCTTGGAATGAATTGGTTTAAAAAATATTTTAAAATAAACAAAAAAGAAAACATTGTTCATCAAAATTGTGTTCTTGAAACAAAAACGAATGCAAAAATCGAAAGGCAACGTAGAAGACATTTTTAAATGTTCGTTAACAGTTGTATAGTGTTGTTTTACGACACGTGATCGGTAGTTTGACATGGAGATGGATGAGCTCCGCCAGGTCTCCTTGCCCAAGATATACCACGAATGTTGTATATATGTGGAGGGGAGTGTTCAGGTGATCAGCTGTGTAATGGCACTACGGCCACCTAGTCATATGACTGATGAGGAGGAGGATGAATATAAGCAAAGTTAAATACACGCACACTCACACGTATTCACACTATCACACACACACTCATGCGCGCGCGCACACACACAATCACATTCATACATACACATACACATACACAATCAGGGGCTGTCAAAAATATCATTTTTAATCTTTTTTAAAGCATGAGAACAATATAATGCGATAACTGGGAACTTTGGCGTGGTGTAATGGCTAACAAGCTCGCCTCGTTAGATCATTTACGAGTAGTGAGTTTGATACTCACTGAGTGGTCAATACTTTGGACCTTTTCCCACGTCTAAGCTACCTTTAGTAAATTGATATAATGTTAGAATTTTAATAATGGATACTTGCGCAGATTCGCCTTTACTTGATTGTTAAATTTTATCTACTGTCAAAATTATCAAAGATTTAGATGTTGAGTGATTATTATGATTTCTTCTTCTTCTTCTTCTTCTTCTTCTTCTTCTTCTTCTTCTTCTTCTGTGTGACGTGTCTCTTCTGGACGTCCACAATTTCAAAATCCTCTCTCGTGAATATGTAAAGATGAAGACAACATTTCGAACAATGTAAATAGTGTAAATAGTTACAATATCTCATCTCAGAAATGTAAACTGATGATACAATTCTTAGTTGACACTCCGAAAATAGATACATATTACTGCACACCACTGAAAATGACCTAATCCGCGGGAAAAATAGAAATCGATTACACCCTGTCATTCCAGTGGTTTTAAAACTGACCGTATGATGAAAGAAAGGAAACTAAAGCGGTTGTTTCAATTAATTGCCCAAAGGCGGACCACCAAGCTGTACTGGGAATACCGTCAAGAATCGTTGATTAGATTGTTATGAAAGAGTGGAATTTTGACAGGAAGAATTAAAAAAAAACAACAACAACAAAAAAAAAAACAAAAACAAAAAAACAATGTAGCATAAAAGACTCTGGTTAGAGGAAGAAGATTTCTTAAAGAATCAGATAACTTGCAGTCTGATCTTACACATATAACACATACATATATGTTTCATAAAGATATACATTATAATCAGAAACTTACATGATAAATT